CGCCGGGGCACCGCTGCCGGCTCCAAGCAGCAGCCGGCTGGGGGCCGGAGCCGCTCCAATCCCGGCAGCTGGGACCACGTGGTGGGGCAAATCCGCAACCGCGGCTTGGACATGAAGTCCTTCCTGTAAGTGTGCGCTCTGCTCTCTCCTTTGCTCTCTCCATTGCTCTCTCCTTTGCTCTCTCTGCTCTCCATTGCTCTCTCCGTTGCTCTCTCCATTGCTCTCTCCATTGCTTATCCTGGCACAGCCACTCAGCTGGCACCACCTCGGGGAAATGGGTCCCCTCCAGTCCCATCATGGGGGCCAGGGGCAGCTCCCCCAGCCCAGATCCTCAGGAAAGGGTCTCCTGCACTCCCTTTGTGCCATGGCTTTGCTGTGTCTCACCCCCTGCCTTGCTGACCAGTGCGGGTGCTCAGGTCCCTTCCAGTCCCCAGGGAGTGCAGGGATGTCCCAGCCCGTGAGACAGCCACCACCGTTGTCCCTAGGGGGTGACATTGCCCCAAGGAGGAGTTGGCAGTGGATCCCGTGCAGGGATGATTGTGTGTTGGGCCCCGATAACACTGCCTGCCAGGCTGCCTTCCGGCTCCGCAGCTCCGAGCTGCCAGAGCCCTGTGATCTTTAATCTGGTTTAACCCTATCTCTCAGATCAGTGCTGCCTTTCAAACCTCAAACGCCGAGGACTAATCTGAATCCCATACTGCCACTGTATCTCAGCACATGACATTGTTACTCATCCCCAGCCTCCGTCCTCCCTGGGGTCCTCCTGTTTGCCCTCTGGCACAGGTGATGCTCAGGTCCTGGCTGTGCTTATCACAGGCTGGTAGTGCTTGGGGTGAGGGGGGGGTCAGGCCTAATCTTGCCCTTGTGTGAGTCAGCTCAGCACCTTCTACATCAAGGTTAAGTGGGAAAGGCCCCAGGAGACACAAATTTGGTGTAGGCAGCCCTGGAGAAAGGGCTGAACCTTCCTCCAGGCAAGCAGAGACATCCCAGGGTCATTACCTGCAGCCATGTCCAGGAGTCCCCTTCCAGCACCAGCATCAACTGTGTCCTCCCATCCTCACCAGTCAGTGCTCCCCTCGGCTTTTGCATCCCAGTGCCGTGCTGGCTCTGCCCTCTCCCACCGAGAGGTTCCTTGCCGGGTCCATTTGCCAGCTTCCCGATGTCGAGATGCGGCTCATTAGCCATCCCGAGGATCACGTTCCTCCCTGTTTACCCAGCACCGGCGCTGGTTTCAGCCTAAATTGGTAGGGGGAGCAGCCGCAGAGCCGGGACGTGCCGAGCCAGCCCGCCGTTTCCCTGTGGAGGAGCCATTGCCATTTACCACCACTGCTTTCTGAAGCCATTAACTTTGCTTTTTGCTCTTTATTCTGTTTGCCCTCTCCGGCGCCGTGGTGTAAATGCGGTTACGGGCCCCGGGGAGGTTGCGCCGGCAACGCCAGAATGAGGCAAAGAGCCTCGGCCATGGCACCACGATCTCCTCCTCCAGAGAAGGATGCTGGGACCTTGCTCCCTTCACACTGTCCCTTGGACAAGTCCCCAGCCCCTCCAGTCACCTTCTCCCCCTCGGCAGGACCTTGGCATCCTCTGTGCCTGGACCAGCTGAGGAGAGGGGTGGCGGTGGTACTCACGTGTGCCGCGCTCATCGGATCCAGCACCTTTCTCCCCGTAGTCCTCTGTGCCCATCCCGGACATCATCTGCGCAGGGGCCGGTGGGCAGAGCCAGGGCCTCCTCACCATCACGGGGGAGCCCGGTGTGCCGGTTCCCTGCCTGATGCTGTGTTCTCCTCTCTTTTTTCTCTCTCTCCCGCTGCCGGCGGGGCCGCCTGGGCAGGGAAGGCCGGATGGTGGTGTTATCCCTGGTTTTGGGACTCTCAGAGCAAGATGACTTTGCCAATATCCCTGACCTGCAACCCGCTGGGACGCAGCCGAACCAGCCGAACGCTCAGGGGGACAAGAGGTATGAGCGAGGACAAGGGCAGTCCCGCAAGAGGAGGAGACGGAGGGCTTCACCCAGGGTGGAGGAGGAGG